CCCCAAAACCCCAAAACCCCAAAACCCCAAAACCCCAAAACCCCTTTAATCTCTGTTTTATAGAACTCTACTTAATGTGGGGGAATACTTCTTCAAGTACTTCTTTTGGAATGGCAAATCTAGGACAGATTGGCTTCAGATCGTATTCTTTCATCAGAGATAAAGCAGCAATCCCAAAATAGGTATGGAATACATCAACCTCGTTTCCTGGTCTGTCTCCAATTCCTCCCATATCTGGATCTTGTCAATGAAGGATGTACTTCTTAAGAGATTCGAGATTTATTAAGTTCTCTTGTTCAATATTGTAGCAAGCTGACATTACCCACCAAGAGTAGCAGACATCTGGTAGTTTCTCAGGTCTTCCATTGAATCCTCCTTGGAGTGTCTGTCTTTGGCTGATCCAGATTCCTAAATTTTCGTTATCAACTAAATCTAAATCTCCTAAAATAGCTAAAGCACCTATTCATCAGAAGGTGTAGGCTGCATGACTTTCTGCATCAGGGATTGCTCCATAGCCACCATCAATATTATTTCAGAGGAGAATAAAGTCCCTTGCCTTTTTGACATCAATCAGGTCCATCTTATTCAATAGGGTAAGGAGAGAGATGGCTGTATATGAGAACCTTGAGTCTCCTGAGAAGGATCCATCTTCCTTCTGTAAATCAGCAACATACTTGGCAAGAGCATCGGTGTCAATAGCATCGAGAGCATTGTACTGAGCGAGAATCAACACTGCATATAGACATCAAGTGATATGAGAATCATGTCCTACATTACCTCCGATGCCTCCATCCTCATTTTGTCAGGATTTAATGAATTCAGTCATTTCATCTTTCCTCTGCCCATTTAACTTATCTAACAAATTGAGGGCTGTAATGCACCAGTATGCCCCTGGCAGCTTCAGATGATCATTCATAAAGAAACCTATTGCATACTGGTCCTTAGTATCATTCAAGGAGAGTAGGTACGTATTATGTAACTCTTCCACAAATTCTTCAGTGATCCCTTCAGTCACTTCCATTATTATTTCAAAGATTTTCTTACAATTTATTCTATAAAACAGGGGTTTTGGGGTTTTGGGGTTTTGGGG